CTATACAATAATAAAGGTGTCAATTCAACATGAAACAATTCTAAATATATATGCCTATTATGGTTGATACATTGTGTCAACTTGGGGAGTCTAGAGGTTTGGCTAAGTGACTCAGCAGTTCTACATCCTGGGGTGAAAAGGATATGCCTTTCCTGCTCTAGGATGTTGTTTATTGTGTCAGTTTGAGTTGTTTAGAAGGTTAACTATGTGATTCAGCAGGGAGCCAGGGTGCTTACTTCCTATTCATCCTGAGCCTGTGCAAGAGGAGGGCATGGACAGTATGTGAGTGCTACATGCCCCCTGGGTGGGGGTAGCCTGCTTACAATATAAGGGAGGAAAAGAGGCTTGTTCTTTTCTGCCATTCCCCTCTTTGCTATTGTTGCTTTGCTATCTCCCGTCACCATGAACTTTTGCCCTCTGCCATGTGTCACTCTGCCTAGGAGCCAGCCAAGTATGGACTGAAACCTCCACAAACTGAGCTAATTAAACCTTTCCCTCCTTAATTTTGGGCATTGAATATTTTGTCTCAGCAACAAAAGAAAAGTAACAAAGACAATGCCCTTGTCATGTTTTAGATCTAAAATATTCCCCTATTATCACTTATATCTAGACATCCCCACAAAGCATCATGTGCTCACTAGTGGAGTTTTGGGATCATGGGTTTGTGAAGGTCAAGGGGGTGTGATACGGGATTATTCTGTTGATTGGTTTATCTTAATTCTGTGAGTGAATGATGGATTACTGAAAAGGGCCAACCCACCCTGGATGTGGGTGGCATCAACCAATAGGCTTTTAGCCCGAGTGGAATAAAAAGAGAGGGAAAAGAAAGAAGTCTGATGCTTCCTGCCTGCCTTGCCATTCGCTTCTCCTTCTATGCCATGTTGGCCTGCCTTTGAGCCAAGCAACTATGGATTGAAACCTCTACAAACTTTAAAATAAAGTAAACTTCTTTTTTGAACTTAAGAAGGTCAGGTATTTTGTCCCAGCAACAAGGAAGTAACTAAGACATCCCCCCTCAATCTCATGTGTTTGGAAAATGACTGAATCATGGAGACACAATAGTCATCAGTGTGTTCTTCCACAAGTAATTCAGTAACTCATACACTATTAGGAGTTAGGGCCTGGTTAGAAGGGTGATAAATGGGGACATTACTTGGAAGGGTATATTTTTGTCCCTGGATATTGCCTTTTTCTTTTCTTTCTCTGCTTCCTGGCACCTATGAGGTGAGCAGCTTTCCTCCACCAGTTCTTCTTTCATGGAATTTCTGCCCTGGAGCCAATCAGTCATGGACTGAATCCTTTGAAAACTGTGACCCACAACAAACCTCTTTTCCATTAAGATGTGAGCATCCGATATTTTGTCCCAGAGATAGGACAGTTGACTAAATACAGCAGCCAATATCAGAACATTCAAATATATGAAGCAAATGTTAATAGGCATAAACAGAAAAATAAGCTACTATAGAATAATAGGAATAGATTTTTTTCCCCACTTTCAGCAAGAAAGTGGACAGATTAGCCAAACAGAAAATCAACAAAAGAAAACAATATATTGCATTTGAGGCCAAATGGACCTACCAGACATTTATAGAACATTCCATTCAACAATTGCAGAATACACATTCTTCTCAATAGCATATAAACCATTCTCCAGGACAGAGCCTATGATAAGTCCCAAAATAAGTCTCAACAAAATTTAGAGAGTTGAAATCATATCAAGTACCTTTTCTGTAATCTTAGAATAAAATGAGAAATAAATGAGAAAAACTTGGAAAGCTATATATAGAAGTAACTTACTCTAAATTTAAAAAAAAAAAGTAACTTACTCTAAAACAACCAACAGGTCAAGGAAAATTCTAGAAAATCTTGAAACCAATAAAGATGGAAGCACAACATATCCAAAACTATGGATTACCAACAAGACTTGGAGGAAAGTTTATAATAACCAGTACTCACTTCAAAAACTGGACATATCACTGTAGTTCAAGGAATGACATAAAGAAAAAAACAAACAAAACCCGGAATTAGTAGAAGAAAAGACAAATGAAAAACAAGAGCTGAAATATCAACACAACAAAAATCTAATTCTTGTATGATAAGCAAAACAGACAAATCTAGCTGGACTAACTAAAAAAAAGAGAGTCAAATAAATAAAATCACTTATGAGAAAGAGATATTACAACTGACATCACAGAAATGCAAAGGGTCATTAGAGGTTATTATGAAAAACTACATACCAACAAATTTGATGACCTTGAAGAAATGGATAAATTCTTACACACATAGATCTTAGCAGGATGAGAAAGAGAAAATTGGATCTAACTGATAACAGGCAACAAGATTTGAGTTATAAAAAAAAATCCTTTTCTTCAAAGAAAGGCTAGGGACTGGATGACTTCACAAATGAATTCTATCAGACATTCAAAGAACTAGTACCCCATTCTTAAAAAATGCAAGTCAGTTATAATATTAGTGTTTCTTAGTTTTTTCAAAAGGTAGGTTTGTACCAATATCAACTGGAGAAATTTTTAAGACCATATCTTGTACTCTGAGTAACTACTTTAAAGATAACTATGCAGTGTAAAAACAGTTGCTCCAAAATACTGAGCAGGAGAGAATTCTTTCAAATTCACTCAGTGAGAGAGGTGTTACTGTGATACAAAACCAGACAAGGACACAATAATAAAAAAGACATAGAAGTCAATTTCTTTTGGAAACATAAGTGCAAAACATTTCAGCAAAATGCTGGTAAATCAACCCCAATGGCTTTGTTGGTTTTAGACCACAGGGCAGGTGTTCAAATGGATGTTGGAAAATGTCAGCACTCATGGGATCTGGGTGCTTCTTACAGAGGACAGAGCCCAGGTCCTTCTCAACCTGAGCTTATAGGTCTCAGGGGAATCTCTCTGTCTGGCCCATTCCCTCTCTGTGATGGTCTCCTGTGGTTGTCTTTTACCCAGTCACTGTGGGAGGGTAATAGTGGAGTCCCTGGTTTTGCCAGCCAGCTTCTTACTTTGTCCCTGGGTCCCCTGCCCCTGCATACTTACCTTCTCTTCCCAGGTATTATCTTCCTCCAGGATCAGGTTGGTCAGCTAGTGCACTCCTCCATTGCCCAGCTTGGAGTTGGTAGATGGTCGCACTTACATGGGGTGTGCTGCACCCTGGTTGGGACCCTCTCATTGTTTTTCACCAAGTGTCAGAGACAATTTTTGTAAAATTACTCTTCCAGGTAAAATTGATAATCTCAGATTATAATCAAAACATTTTGGTTTGAATTGAACTTACGTACCAAGCTGGAAATAATTATTAGCTTTCCATGCAAGAAAAATGGTATATTGCACTATTATCACTATTCTCCTTTATGCCTTTCAATAAAGTGTTATTATATTATTGAATATATCCCAGTACGCTTATTCCTACACATTTTTTACATGCTGTTAGTGATCATATATCATTTTGTTTTCCAATTATTTCCAGTAGTAGGAAAATATTTTCATTTTTAAATTTATCTGACAATACAAGTCACCCTATCAAATTTTTGCTTATACTTTTTAGTTTTATTAAGTTGATTCACCTGAGTCTTCTATATGTAAGTATATACCTATACATAGTAATCATATTGTATGTAATATGATGTCCATAGTTAGAAGACACAGCTGTGCTCAAAAGTGAGAAAAGCAAAGCTTCTGAGAAGCTTTAATAAGCAACAAAGAAGCACATAGCGCTACTGTCGTTTGGAGTCAAACTCCCATGGTAGGACATACTCAGATACATAAGACAAAAGGATAATGGAAATGACAATTGCAACCCTGTAGGATTGTGAGCTGCGATTTATATTCCTGAAGAATGCAATCAAAGGAAAAGGAATTATGCCATCAGTGCGTAAAATGGGGAACATTTTACACATTTCATGAAAGACTAAGTCTATGGACTGTTATTCACCAGTTCCTAGTTGGCGGCAGAGTCACCTGTGAAAATCCCTGTGGATGTGGGCATTTTCCTAGGGGGACTGGTGGGAAGGTCTCATGTGTGTACGGAGCTGAACACTTTTTGGGGATATTTTTCATCTTCCCAAAATCTCCTCCGTAAATGACTCAAAATAATTTCACAGCTATGAAAATTCTCCCCAGGTCGCCTAAGAATTATCAATTACAGCAAAAAGCTGGAATTTTAAAGTCATGATGAGAAAGAAGAGAAAAACGAATGAATCCCATACAGGATCGTTCATGTTCTGACCCCACCCACAACTGCAGGTCTCTGTGAGAAGCCCTGGCAGAACAGGAAATGCTGCCAGGAGAGCGGAAGACAGAGGGGTTAAGGAAGGGTCCCAATGGGGATTTGGAAGGACCGCTAGATGAATGCATCTCACTAAATCAGAGTTCAGACAAAGGACTAGGGGCAAAGGATTCCGAATATATGTGATTTAAAGGGTCAGATGCCCTGCAAAAGATCAATTGTGCAACTTAAAGGTCAGGCTTTTCTTGCAAGCTGAGGTGCATGATTTAAAAGGGCAGGAATGATCGTAAAGGAGAAGTCTCAAAGATTTTTCTGAATGCAGAGCTTCTGATGGAGAAGAAACATTAAATAGGAAGAAGGACTTTTTGTGACCCGAGTCACGCTAGAGAAAAGGAAAGGGGAAATATTTAAGATCCTGCAGGACAGCTGGGCATGGTGGCATACACCTGTAATCCCAGGATTTGTGAGGCTGAGGCAGGAGAGTCATTGCGAGTTCGAGGCCAGCCTGGACTGCATAGTGAGACCCTGTCTCAAAAAAAGAAAAAAAAAAAGAAAAAAAGAAAAGATCCTGCAAGACAGGAGACAAACATAATTGGAAGACCAACAATAACTATCTGTCAACAAAGCCAGCAAGCAGTAACTACAAATTACAAATCAGTACAGATTAATAAAAAAAAATCCCTCCATGTGCTCTCTAATTGATTATGGCTTTGTTTTTAATAAAATGTCCAAAGCTGAACTTTTCCCATTTTTTTCTGTTACAGTGTTCTCAGCCCTGCTGCTGATGTACAACAGGGGAAGAATTGGTGGCCTGATTTTCTTTTTGTCTCTCTGCTTGCATGGTCTACACTGATACCATTCTTATGCTTTCCATACAATATAGCAGGTGACTATAAAAATATAATCAATTAACTAAAGGTCAGTAGCTTCCAGCTCCAAGCTTCTGTTCTCACAGCATGGCTGAACTGCATCTCCCTGTGAATACTCCTCCTTTACCAATCTGTCATACAGATAAAGTGTCATGGGCTAATGTGTTTAAATTAATAAAACAACACACAGGCACATCTTTTATTTATGGATCAGTATATATACATGGATCACTATATATATTTTTTTTTCTTTAAAAATGCTTTATATTTAAAGTATACAGTTGGGTTCTAAAAATGAAGTATGTTTAAAGCTACCTAAGCTGGGCATGGTGGCATATGCCTGTAATCCCAGCACTCGGGAGGCTGAGGCAGGAGGATTGTTGCAAATTTGAGACTAGCCTGGGCTACAAAGTGAGCTCAAGGCCAGCCTGAACAGTATAATGAGACCCTGTCTCAAAAAAACAAAAAAACCAAAAAAACAAAAAAACAAAAACTACCTAACTTGCTTTAATGTTTGCACTATCTCAGAGAAATTTTGTAACATGAAATCACTGTTAAAATTACTGCAAAAGCAAAAAAGGATATGCAAAGTCAGAAAAATGAGTTCTCTCTTGATGGTATATTTGACTGGCACAGAATATTTTTAGTAAGAGCAGAGATTATTCTTTTACATTTTAGAGCTGTACTATCAAACATGTTAGCCACTTGTCAAATATGTCTATTTAAACTAAATTAAAAGTATACTCAAGTATAAGAAGTCCTTTTCAAAGTCAGGATGGCCGAGCAGTCTAAGGCACTGTGTTCAGAGGTTCTTTTCAAGTACTTAGTAACCATAGGTAGCTAGCAGATAGTACTGATACGGCTATCTTTCATTATCATATTTTCTCAATATCAGTAAGACAGCGTTGTTTTAGAAGAATGTCTTTTAATTAATTGAACTGACTTCAACTTGTTTAAAAATGTCTCACTAGCCTTCCCAGAATAAATTGGGTTTATTAGGATTTGTATAACATGTGTTTTTCTAAATTATTTGGACAGTTCATAAGATGCTTTTCCTTGTTAACATACAGGTACAGCAAAGATAAGAGCTAGGAAACAAAAAGAGTTTTATATGTTTGACAGCAACCTTAAATATTGGAAATTTGGACCAAGTATTAAGGAGTTGTTTGGTGCTGTTTGGGTAAAGTAAAATATTCTTTGTAAAGTTGCTATATAAGTTGCAAAGTACAGTTTTCTAATAGTGGGCTTAAGAAAATAATCATAGGTATTCAATTTAAATTTGCATGGAAGTTTCTGCGTCTTTTACTTCAATTATTTATCTTCTATATAATGGAAAATAGGACACCCCTTCTATAAACAGCCTTACCAAGAACTTGGCTGGTATCAGAGACTAATACCAGGTATTTTCTTAATTTCTTTAATATAATTCTGCTTTTATATTATTTTGTGTTTATTTTTCCCTAAGAAGTGAGAAGTTTCTTTAATGAGAAGATGTGTAGGGACCAGCATTATTTTTACTATGTTTAAATTATTTAGAAGAACTTTAGAAGTAAACCAACATTCCCACAAACATTATATTTCATGCAAAATATCTCATTACAACATCAAATGAAAAACCTTTGTTTCTTTAGGTAAGAAAAGGGCTATAGTACAGATACCATAGCATAAAAAATTCCAGCTTCCAAACAGTTTTCATTTCTCCTACTTAATAATCTTTTGAATGCCGCCTGCACAATTGTTTTAGTCATATATAAATTTTATCAAGTTATTGCCCAGATTACATTGTAGGTGAATTTCATACTTCAAAATTAAGACTTTTAAGACTCTAACCATAGAATCAACTGTATTTTCTTGCATCATTTTCTCAGAATTTTATTCCTTTCTCCCCATATTCTAGTCACTTGCTTTTTATGATACATAATATAATAATTTTTTACTGGCTTCTATTCACCAAGTGTTTTTCTTTTTCTCAAATCATGAACCATTCCTTGTAGTTTATTACACTTCATTTTTTTAAATTTTAATTTTATTGGAATATTCAAGTACATATTTTAACAATGCAGAAGCTAGCTATAACTTTTTCTATATTGTTGAAATTAAGATACAGTTGTCTAGAAAATACTACATAAAATTTAAACATGAATATTTTGAGGTTTTTTTCTTTAAAAACTTTTAAACATGTATTGTGTGTATGAATTGGATTCATTGTAATATTTCAACAGTTGCACCCAGAATGCACCAGTCAAACAGGGTAAGTCATATTCCCCTCCTCTCATCATTTCTTTGTTTCAATCCTTGGGCTTCTGTCTTCTGGATCTGCACATGATACATAATAGTTGTGAACTATAGTCAACCCACTATACTGTAGAGTGCAAGAACTTACTTCTTTTGTGGTGTTTTTTGTTTTTTGGGGGTTTTTTTGGTACCAGGAATCGAACTCAGGACCTTGTGCTGGCACTTGTGCCACTGAGCTATATCCCTGGCTTCTTTTGTGTTTTCATGCTTGTTTTTCAGCCACCTTTTGTCAGTCCCTTTTTAAATTCTCAATATTCATGTCAACTTTTAGTTTCAGATTGTAGTATTTGTTTTACAAAGTCTGACTTATTCAACTTTATGATACCTTTCAGATCCATTTCATTCTGTTACAAATGACAAGATTTCCTTCTTCTTCTTGGCTGAATAACATTTAGCTGCATACACACGCCACATTTGTTTTACCTGTTCATCAGTTAATGGGTACTCAGGTTAATGTCACAGCTCAGCTATTGTGAATAGGACCACAGTAATCATGGTCATGCAGATAATTCTCTGGTATGATGATTTCATTTTCTTTGGATATTGTTACAGTTTAGATTTCAAGTGTTGCTCAGAAGTCTGTGGGGGTAGAGGTTTGCTCCTCATGTAGTCACTGCTGGGATTTCTAAGAAGTGGGCTCCAAAATGAAGTCTTTAGGTCATTTGGTGTGCTCCCTGAAGTGGATTGTGGGCCCCGGGTCTCTTCCTTTTTCTCTTTGGTGTCCTGGAATGTTCCTTGAGGGGGTTGCTCCCATGTGCTCTTGCCATTGATATTTTGCGATATAATTAATCAATCAGGGACTGAAATTAGTAAAACTGTGAGCCAAAATAACCTCCCTCTCTTTATAAATTAATTATCTCAGGTATTTGTTAAAGTGACTGAGAGCTGACTCAGATATGATGGGATCATATGGTGTGGTCGTTTCTTCTTTTTTTTTTTCCTTTAGGAATATCCATTCTGTTTTCCATAATCATTGGACCAATGTACATTCCTATCAACAGGGCATAAAATATTTTGTTCATATCTGTCTTGGTTACTTTTCTCTTGTTGCTGAGACAAAATCCCTGATGCCCAAGTTAAGGAAGGAAAGGTTTGTCTAGCTCACAGTTTGTGGAGGTTTCAGTCTATACTTGGCTGGTTCCAAGGCAGAGTGGCACATGGCAGAGGGCAACAGTTCATGACAGCAGAAGACAGCAAAAGCAAGAGAAAAAGGGAGGAGCAGCAGCAACCAGCCTCTTTCACTCCCTTACATTGTATGCAAACTTCCCACCCCAGGGCAGGCAGGTATAGCACTCATACCCATGAATGAATCATAAACTTAGAAGCCCGCCCTATGACTGCATGAGGCTTTAGGGGGACATCCAGACACAAACCATGACAATATCCTGGCCAACATTTGTTACTTTTTATCTTTTTGATAATACCCATGTTTACTTGAGTAAGAGGGTATATCTTTATCATCTTAGGGATTTTCATTTCCCTGCCGGCTAATTACGATGAGCATTTTTAAAAGATATTTCCTAGCCATTTATATTTCTTCTTTTAAGAAGTGTCTATTCAGACTATTTCTCCATTTTTAGTTGGCTTATTTTTTTGTCTAACTTTCTTGTTGTGAAGTTTTTTGAGATTCTCATTTATTTTGAATATTCTGTGTGAAATGAACAGTCGGTAAATACTGTTTGAGGTTTATCTTTTTATCCTGGTGATTATTTGCTTTGCTGTATAAAAGCTTCTCTTCTTTTTTTTTAAAGCTTGAACTGAATTTTTTTTAATTTCAGGAAAAAATAAAATTTTAAAACAAAATAATAAGAAAATAAGAGTAATACATTGTATATCATTATCTTCAAAGCAGTTACTCAGAGTACAAATAAACCAAAATGATTTTTACAAAAAAAGAAATAGATAATAACACAAAGCTTTGTTTTCAAGGAACTAAGATAAGCTAGTAGTATAAAATGAAACATATTAGCATATATATTGAAATATTTTCCATTCATCTACTTTTGCTTTTCTGACATATACCTTTGGCATTGCTTATGCTAATGTCTTGAAGTGTTTCCTCTGTTTTTTTTAGTTTTATAGTTTCAGGTTTTATACTTAGGATTTTGGCTAATTTTGAGTCAACTTTTTTATAGGTAAGAGGTAAAGGTCAAGTTTCAATCTTCTGCAAATGGATATGCCCTTTTCCCAGCACTATTTACTGAAGAGGCTATCTTTTCTCCAATGAATATCTTTGTTGAGAATCATTTGTCTATAGAAGCATGAGTTTATTGCTGGGGTCTATAATCTGTTCATTGGTGTAGGAGCCTGTTTTTAGGGTAGCGTGTGCTCTTTTGTTTACTGTGGCACTGTAATATGTGTTGAAGTCACATGTTGTGATTTCTTTGTTCTTTTGTTAATGATTACTTTGGCTGTTCATTGTCTTTTGAGCTTCCACATGAATTTTAGGATTGCTTTTTATAGTTTGGAGGAACTGAACCCAGGAGTGCTCTGTCATGGAAGTACATCCCCAGCCCTTTTTATTTATTTGAAGACAGGGTTGTGCTAAATTGCTCAAGTTGGCTTTTAACTTTGATCCTTGTGCCTCAGTTTCTCAAGTAGATAGGATTACAGGTTCATGCCACTGTGCCAAGCTAATACTGCATCATTTGTATGCACTGAATCCAGAGATTACTTTTTGTAGTATGAAGATTTTAACAATTTTAATTCTTCTGATCCATGAATATGTGAGATCTTTGTATATTCTTCAATTGCTTTTACCAGTGATTTAGAATTTTCACTGTAGAAATTATTCATTGGGTTAAAATTATTCCATGTATTTTTTTTTAAGCTATGATTGGGACTACTTCCATAATTTCTTTCTCAACATTGCTGTTGGTATATTACATTTCATTATTGGTATATAAAAGTGCTATTGAGTTTTGCATGTTTATTTTGTGGCCTACAACTTTACTGAATTTATTAATCAGTTCTAATAATCTTTTTGTGGTGTCTTTAGGTTTTTATATTCAGTCATATTATCTGGAAACAGGGATAAGTTGTCATTATTTTTTTTCCCATGTATGCCTTTTAGCTATATTTAAAATTAGATCATAGAGTAAAAAGTAATCCTAAAACTATAAATAAACTCATTTAGCAGAGAAACTCATTTAGCAGAGATGCTTAAGAATTTTATGAAAAATTTTAAATTCTATGAATCCCTAATAAATAAAGCTGGAATAAATTCAAAGATATTTGTATTAATGAGTGAAATGGTAATATTTGTATATGATTTATTTTTCAAATCTATGAATTCAGTGCAAGTATAATCAGTATTATGGTATGAATTTTATTTTTTGAGTTAATAAAAAATTGATCTAAAATTTATGTGGCTCAAGAAAAACCAAACAAATAAACATCATTGGGCTTAGTACACATTAAGATACTCTACAAAACCATAGTAGTAAGACAGTATAACATTTTCTCTGTACAAACAAATAAAATAGAACAGGAAGAGAACTCAGCAACAGATTATATATACTATATAGAATTTTAAAACTGATAAAATAAGCTCTGTAAGAATAATTGTTTGTCTATGATGAAAATTTGGTTGTCTGTATATAAAATATGAGGTGAGATCTCTACCTCATATTATGTGGAAAGGTGATTATCAGGCAAACAAAATTTGAGACAGGTATAGTAGCTATTGAATGCAGGGCATTTACACTGAGCTACATTCCCAGGCTTTAAAAAAAAAATTTTTTTTTGAGATAAGATCTCACTAAATTACTAAGTTACCTATATTGTGTTTGAACTTGGGATCCTCCTAATACAGCCTCCTAGAGTGCTGGAATTACAGTCCTGTACTACCACACCTATAGTTAACAAAATTTTTAAATTAAAAAACATAATGTTAAAAACTAGAGAAATATTTTATAACACAGAAATGGAACAATTGTTAAACAAGATTTTGATATTGTAAAATAGTCAGCAAAACTTTATGGATTAGATTATATAAAGCCAAAGATTTCTAGCAAGAAAACTACAGACAATATTAATAAACAGATAAGAGATATCTAAATCCAGGAGATTAATAGCTAGAATGAACAAGGAAAAATCTACACAAAACGTTCAGGAAGACTTACAGAAATGGGAATACCCAGTACACACACACACACACACACACACACACACACACCTCGAATAACTAAGGAAAGTTTAGTTACATTTACAAATACATAAATACAAAATGAAGCTTTGTGACAGTATATTTGTCTGCAAAGGATATTCTGAAAAGTAGAAATACTATCAAGTACTTGTGACTTATGTAAGATGTGCCGGTTATCTACTGCTCAGTGACAAAACACCACAAACCTTAGTGGCATACAGTAGAGAAGCCTATTCAGTTTATGCTGGGAATGATAATTTCTTTAGAGACTGATCGGTAACATATGAATGGATATATATCTATATCCCTCTTGACCTAACAAAATAACTGATCAATAACATTCCCATTTCAGATGCTGCTGAAGACTCCAGTGTTTATGTACCAAGCTCTGTCCAAAGCTTCAGAATCTTTAATTATTATTGGAGCCACTGAATTTTTGCCTATATATTTAGAAAATCAGTTTATATTAACACCCGCGATGGCAGCTTCACTTACAGGTAGTCTTTCCTTCGTATTATCACTTCAAAAATTTTGTGAAGTCTTCATGTATGTATATTTATCAAATAAAATACTTCCAGCCAGCAGAAAATACAAGACTCACCTGTCTGTGGCTCTGTATAGAAGCAGTGTCACTCACAGTTACGGTTTTGCTCTCTGCTGACACCAGGAAGGTATCTTGCCAGGAGCAAGAGCTCAGCCTCCTCCTCCCTGTGGCCACCTGAGGATGGGTCAGTATCTGAGACTTCACGTCTTCTCCTTTAATTAAATAGAACTTTCCAACATTTTTTGAGCAGGACAAGTTTGTGGCTGAAGCTGGGCTTAATTTCTTCCAGGTGAGCTGGGAGTGTAGCTCATCAGCTTAACAGCTGCTGGATGTGTGCCAGGCCCCGGCTTAATCCCCAGCGCTGGGTGAAGAGGGAGGTGAGATGAAGAAAGCTAGAGGTGGGAGGGTAGAGAGGAATAGAAAGGAGAGAGGGAGAGGAAGGGAGTGGAGGGATTTTCAGAAGAGAATAAAATTGTGTAATAGAAAGCACAGATAAAATTTAAAAAGGAAAAGGAAAGGAAAAATTGGGAAAGGAGAGAAATGAAAGGAAAACATCCAACTGAGAAATAAAAAAGCATGATAAAAGTTAGGAAAGAATGAGAGATAAAAAGCAACAGTAATAACAGAAGAGACAGAGAGAGAAAAAACTAGTGAAACTTTTCTTTTATTCCAGTTTTGCAAAGCTTCTCTCTGCTCTCGATCTGCCTTGTGTGGAGGGGTTAGTGGATTGCAGCTCAAGTTTATAATTTCTCTCAACTCTTGCCAAACAAGTTGGGGTGGAATGAGGGTGCACATCACACGTTAAGAGTATGTTAGCAGCGCCGGAGGGACATTCTTAAGTAAGGCTTCTTGGTTTGCTCATCTGGAGGCTTGGCTGATGTTGAACCTACAGAAAGACCTTTTTTTGGACTGAATGCGGGTGGAACGTGAACTTTTCAGCCTTACATTTGCTCTGGAGGTCTGTAGTCTGCACACCTGGGGGCATGGCCCGTGTCAAGGTGCAGCAAACCGTTTTTCCTCTTGGCCAAGTTTTGGCAGAATGGTATGTAGTCACTCGGGCTTTCAATGTGTGCATCCGTGGTCCTGGCAAATGACAAAACGGGCAAAGATTTGTGTCAGAAACACTTCTGCAAGCCACTGGCCTACACCTCTGCAGCCAACTCAGCAAGATGCCCAAGGGGACCCAAGACGGGGTTATCTGGGTTTCCTGATCCCAGGCAATTTAGTCCCTAACACAGAACCTCTCTCAAGGTGACCCTTGACTCTTGCATCCTGAGCGTTTGTTGCAGGAGGCAGTGAATTTCTCTAAGGCCAGATTGTTGTGCAGACTCCAGGTCACCTATTTATTTGAGCTATTTTCCCGCAGGATGCCATGCTTTGAGTCTGTCTTTCACATTACATTAACAAATTTAATCTGGTGTTAGTGGATCTTTTTCTGCTTAGAAGTCCTCATCACCCAAGCAAAGGCCCTGGAACAAAGAGCTGGGGTATTCATTTCTCCTCCCTCCTTGTCTCCTATGCCTACCTTCCTTCTTTGCTTCCTTCCTTCCTTTCTTCCTTCTTCCTTCCTTCCTTCTTCCCTTCCTCCTTTCCTCCTTTCCTTCCCTCCCCCCGTCTTTCCTCCCTACCCTGGAATGCACCAGGTTTCACTTTCTCTGCTACCAGTTTCAGTGCAGTTGAGAGGAACATCCCTTCCTTTGTGTCCATCCTGGGGCCTGCTGAGGGCATCTGTTCTGCCATGTTGACCCTCCACTTTGTTTTTATTTTTTTTAATTTTTATTTATTTATTTGTTTTTGTCTTTTTGAGACAGGGTCTTGCTATGCAGTTCAGGCTGGCCTTGAACTCACTTTGTAGCCCAGGCTGGCCTTGAACTGGCAACGATCCTCCTGCCTTGGCCTCCCGAGTACAGGCATTAGAGGTGTGCGCCACTATGCCTGGCTCTTGACTTCGTTTTTAATTTTAACAATTAAATTTTTTTACATCCAAATTCCTACTTGTTCTTTTTAATCTACCCATTGTATACCTTTCCCTTTCATTTACTTCTTTATTTTTATGAAACATTTTATCTTTATCATTGATACTTTTGAACATTCTGAAATTGCTTGTTTTCTAATCTTTGCCAGACCTGCAATTTAAACTTAGCTGGTGTTAATGTCTTGTTATTTGTACATTAAATTTTCTTTACTGTATTCCTGTCTGCACCTACCATTGGTCTGTGTGTGGAGCTGAGGGTTTGCACCACTGTGTGAGTTTGCTGTGCTATCTTCATCTGATCATTTTCTAACTGCAATCTTCTTCATCCTTCTTGTTCTCTTTTTTCTCTTCTCTTCTATTCTTTCTTGGCCTTTTTCTTTCTAAGTCCTCATGCCTGATCAGAAAACTATGTCTTACAGTGGCTTTCTAGATTGCCCCTTCGTTCTGTGAGACTGAATATTTCACATATATTTACAGACACAATGCGTAGCTTGTCCACAAATCCCTGTTTGGGAGCTCCTGTCACTTAAATCATGGGTGTTACAACAAGACACAGATCCACTTGGCTGGCTAATAATTGCTTTCAGAAAGGCAAGTCCCAGGTTCTCACTGGCGTGGATTAAGTTACTGGACGGTCTTGGATATCATTGCTATACAGGAGCAAAATTCCACCTCACTTCCTGAAAGGGCACAGACCTAAGTCGTCAGCCTCACTCATAAATCTGTATTTCTCATAAGGTTCATGTTTGTTGCAATATCTATCATTTCTCTAGCTTTCTTTCTCTGTCTTTAAATTTACATATATGCTGGCTGTATGTTAGAGCAGAGAATATTGGATGAATGTATGAATTTTGTGTATTATTAAATGATTGATTTTAACTGTATTTTCCACCTTTTTTTAGGACTTATTTTAATTCCAGGAGGTGCACTTGGCCAACTTCTAGGAGGCATCATTGTTTGCCAGTTGGAAATGTCCTGTAAAGCCCTGATGAGATTTATAATAGCTTCATGTACTGTATCAATTGTATTTCTTGGAATATTAATTTTTGTACACTGTGATCCGGTGAGGTTTGCTGGAATCAATGAGAATTACAATGGGTAAATACAATTTTGTACATTGGACTTTTAAATCAGAACCCAACATCAGAAATCTCAATCAATTAATAATTATTCATAACCTTGAATACTTGTATCACTGTTGTAATTATTAGACTTGTAAAAGAAATAGAAAGCATAGTTCTATCTTTCATATGAAGAAAGAAACAGTTTGACACCTGATGATATGTGAAGGAAGAAGTACTCTGACACCTGATGATGTAGTTGTGTGGCTTACTCATTCATCAAGTACAGAGAAAAATGTATTGAAATGAATCAGAACCTAAAAGTGAAATTTTGTATTAGTGTAGGTAGCAAGTAGATGATACTACCAGCTTCTGGACAATGGCAGTTTTACGTTTTGTTCTTGATTGAGTCTGTCTTCTTATAGTCATCAGAGATTGGAACTGAAGCACATCAGGAAGTATGCATGCATAATAACTGCTTTACCCTAAATGGTAACAATTCAAGAACTAGGCAGACAGTGATAGTAAAATATCGGGCAACAGAACTGGAGCAAGGAAAACAAGTTATGAGACTAAGACTTCTACATCCAACTACAACAGAGTAGCATGCGGGAGACCAAGGGTCAGGAAATGTTACCTGGGCTAATGTCTATCCACAGACTGAAAAAATTACTTTAAACTTCAATCATTATACAAACTTATTTAGACTGTAAATTAATACAGATCATAAATTTAAAAGCAAACTATTAAATTGTTAAGAAAAACAAAGGTGAAAATCCTTGAAATTTAGAACTAAGTGAAAAGTTCTTAGACAGATCATTGAGTGTGAACTGTAAATGTAAAAAAAGAGATAAATTGTACTTTACCAAAATTAAAACTTTTATGTTCAAAGATTTCTGCTAATAAGGTGAAAATGTTCTATAAAGTGGACAAAATACAAACTGAACATTTATGAGTATCTATAATTTGAAAATTAATAGTATGTTGGTTAAAAGTCCTTGGAGAAAAGAATACTAAATAAGAATTAGCTATTCTTTTTGCTTTAATGAGAAACAAATGAAAATATATAATTTTATGAGACTGTTTTGTTTATATATTAGCATGTAAGATATGTGGAAATAAATTCATCAATGATGATCAAAACTTTTATGAAGAAAAATACAAATTCATTGATATACATACAAATACCCAAACTAAGCAAGAGAATGTTTATGTATTCGAGGACTGTGATAAAGATGTTACTTCTCTGAAAATTATAACTTCCTTGCTACATTAATGAAAATCTTCGCAGAATTTTTCACAGGCCTTACAAAAGTTTATTTTGTAATCAAATAGAAGAAAAATACCAAGAGTATACAATATACTCCCTAAAGGAACAGCAAGTTAGAGAACTTCACTAAAAGAAAATAAAACTAAAACAATTAAGATAATATTGTCTTTTTTCATTACCGCATGTTGTGGTAGTTGCTGTGTTCACTTTGGGGAGATCATGCGTGCTTAGGGCATATCTTGATCATTTTTAATGATTCTACCCCTCCCTCACTTTCCTAACCCCTCTCTCTGATCTTCCCCAATTCCAGTAGTCTACATCTAGTTTCCTATAATCTCCCCTTTATTTTATTCATTTACTTACTTATAGTTTAGTGTTATCATATAAGAGAAAGCATGTAATATTTAACTTTCTGAGTCTATCTTACTTCACTTAGTATGATCTTAACTGCACAGATGGTAAAAGATTTTAAAATGGAGAGCCCAGTCACATATCCATGAATACTTGGGAACTTGATATATGAAAAATACAAAAAGACCATTTTGTGAGGAATTCTGATCTCTTTTAAAAAATAGTTCTGTAAATTTTATTTATCCTACAGGAAATAAAACTTCAGTTTCTACATCCCATGTACATAATTCTCCAGTCTGTAGAACACATATGTCAAAAGACAAAATTCTTAATGTTCAGGAAAAAATAGTAGAAAATACTTTTGACCTTAGAGTAAAGAAGAATTCCTAAAAGCAAATATAAAATACTTTATGCTTCTAAATGCAAAATTGATATATTAAATTATGATAAATTTACATCACAATTCAGTATCTATATATTATGTCCAGAATGTTTACTGCTGAGTAGAACAGCACAGAAAGAGAAAAGGTATGCAGCAGTTTCTATTCAAGATCTAAGAAAACTGAGTGCTGAGTAAATGAGTATTACTTATGCCCTGTTCTGTGAATGCTTCTAAATATTTCATAATTATAACAAGGCCATAATATGTCAGTATGGCCAATCTTCCTTGGTCATGGAGGTATAGTGGTATATTTGGTTTGGTGACAAGTAACATGAAAAAGTAAAATATGTCTTGAAAAATATGTCTTAAGTAATATTGAGTAAAACAGGTCTTGAAGACAACATACCCAATATAATTGAGATACAGTGAATTAACCTACTCAAGGGAAACAATAAATGAGAAAGAACAAGGAATTCTTACAGGACAGTTGGATCCCATTAACAAATGTACATCTGTATCTGTATCATCAGGTTTTCAGACAGAGAAAGAGAAACACATAAAAGTATATTTCACAAAGTTACAGCTGGAAACTTGCCAAGTTTTGTAGGAGATGTGGACCTATACTTCCAGTAAGCTCCAAAATCCCAGTTACACCCAGCCCAAAGATGTGCTTTGCAAGTCACACTGTGATCAAGCTGCCAAAGTCGAGAAGAAAGAATTCCAAAAGCAACCAGAGAAAATATCAAGTCATGCATAAAGGAATCTCCATACACGTAACAGCAAGTTTGTTCTCAGAAACCTTGCAGGAGAAAACAGGATAGTATGTTTAGAATGCTGAAAGAAAAGGAAAAGATAGCTGAGCAGTGCACCTAACAAAATTATCCTTTGGAAACTGAAGAAAAATGAAGTTTCAGGCAAGCAAAAACTGAGGAAATTCATCACCACTAGAATGGCTTCAATAAGACATCTTAAGAGAGTCCTAAGGACTGGGGCTATAGCTCAGTGGCAGAAGCGTCTGCCTGGCACATTACCAAAGTTAACAATGAGAAAAGGGAGAAAGGAATAATGAATACACAAAGCAACCATAGAGCAGTTAACCAAATGATAGTATTTTGTTAAGAATCAGTAATAACATTAAACATAAATGGATAAAATAGCCCATTAATGACTAAATGGATTTTTTAAAACCTCAACTATATATTGCCTACAAGTAATTCAATTTTCTGGGAAATACATTTTGTTTTTACACAAGTGGATCCCAAAACCAAGTAGTGTAGCTATCTTCATGATAGATAAAACAAACTTTAAGTAAGAACTATAAGAAGAGATAATGTATTTATTATACAATGGAACAGAGTGGACTGAGCAAGCAGATATAAAATGTTTGTAAATTATATGCATCTAATACTCTGTCACCCAACTACATAAACTAAATATTATCATATCAAAGGGAATGATAAAATCCAACAGAGTAATAGTTGGCTATTTCACAGTTCTGCATTCAACAATGGACAGATCACCCAGATAGAAAATTGAGAGACATTAGGATTAAAATATACTATATTTTGAATGGACCTCATAGGTGTTATGGAACATTTCATCCAACAACCACGGAACACCCTGTTATTGTTAGCAAAGGGAGTATTCTTCAGTATGAACCACATGTTAAGTCACAAAACACATCTAAATGCCAAATTTTTAAAAATTAAAATTCTATTGGGAATGCAAACTAGTATAACCATTATGAAAATCAGTATGGAGATTTCTCAAGAACTGAAGTTAGACATTCAATATGACCCACCTAGCTCCCTGCTAGATATCTTACCCCAAAGAGTTTAACTCATCATACTACAGTGATACATGCATACCAGTGTTTACCACAGCACAATTTTCAATAGTTAAATCCTGGAAGCAGCCTGTATACCCATCAACAGGTGACTGAAAAAAGAAAATGTGATATCTATATGTAGTGGAATATTACTCAGCTATGAAGAATGACACATTTGTAGGAAAATGGATGCACCTGGAAAACATAATATTGCTTGAAATAAGCCAGACACACAAGCTTAATTAGCATATGATATCTCCCATTTGAGTGAGGCAATATAAAAATAAAGAAAGTAATACATGGTGGATAGAAAAGGACAAAGGGAAAGATCTCTGCACTAGGGAAGGGGCCCAAGGAAACAATGGTGAGAGGTGAAGATGAAGGAAAGGGGAAATAAGAATAAAGATGTGCCATATGCAGGAACCTAGTAAGCCCAATTAAATCAAACACTAAATGCCATAACAAGAGCTAAGACAGTATCCACAAGAATGAAGAAGAGAGCAGGGGAACTGGAGGAGGAAGAGAACAGGGGAAGGAAGGGGAAGAGGATATAAAAAGAAACAAACTGTGACATGAACTTGTAACCACTCCCCTAGATGACTGTAAACTACATGAATTACAAACATGTACTCATTTTAAAGAAGAATATTGCATAAAGTGGTGTTTGTAACTTCAATAAAAATTAAATCTATGAATTTTCTTTGACTAGAATTGAGTAAAACTAGAAGTCAACAAGAAGTGGAGGGATGGGCCATGTCCATGCATAGAAAGCAAGAGACATGCTCCTGAAATTTAGTGGACCAATAAGAGTTTAAAACAGAGTTGGGGATAGTGGCACACACCTGTACTTCCAGCACTCAGCAGGTTGAGGCAAGAGGATCATTTCAAGTTTGAGGCCAACCTGGGCTACAAAGTGAGTTCAAGACCAGTCTGAATGGCATGGTGACACCCTGTCTCAAAAAGACCAAAAAAATAAAAGAATTTAAGACATAAAGTCTTTTCAAAACATGGACACAGAACATACCAAAATCTATATTATATGGTAAAACAATACTAAGAAATCTATAGTGATGTGTCTATATAAAACATTCAAAAATTTCAAAAAAATCTGACATAGCAACTGAAGGACCTGGAATAACATGGACAAACATATCTCAATATTATTAGAAATAAAGAAATGACAATCAGGGCACACATAAATAAAAA